GGTAGCTGTAGGAATTCAGTAGTACCGGGCCTGTATTTTCCCGGATTTGCAGATCTGTCCCTCACGAATTTCCTTACAGGCAGGTCTCTCGGTTAGCCCTCAACCAAACAAAATGACAAATCTAACCTACCGGGTTAGTGTACAGCCTCACAGTCAATCTCGGCAGCAGAAATCAGCAAGTCATTGCAGATGGACAGTGCATGAGCTGGCATTGAAAGAGCATGCAGGAGAATTGTACCAGCAGTTCGATTTTCCGTTTTTTTTTTTGTTTTTTTTTTTTGGACCATTTCTCGATTTATGCACGACACTGTCATCCTTGCGCAGGGGCCATGCTAATCTTCTCTGTATCGTTCCAATTTAATGGATGTCCCGAAGGACAGCAGTTCGTTTTTCCTTCAGTTTTTCCTAAATTTCATCTCCTGTATGAAGATGGGTCAATCCAGAAGAGAAAGGCCTTTTAAAGATCTAACATGTCAACCAAACGAGCCGAGGGCATTCTCACACAATGCATCTTACAACAGTTATGGATATCTTCAGTTGAAGTAGTCCTCGGTGCGAGCATGACTTCAGTGATATGATGATATCTGACATCACCATGAATAACAGCGTTCACAACTGCAGCTGATTGTGCTAAAAATAGTATTCGAATTTCAGAACTTAGTCAATTCCTCTTCCACTTTCTTACATTTGCCGGTTTGTCTCTTGAGCTGACATTGGAAGCAAAAGTACTTTAAAGAAGACAACGATTTGAACTCTTAACCTGTTGAGCAACTGTCGCATGTGTGTGTGTGTGTGTGTGTGTGTGTGTGTGTGTGTGTGCGTGTGTGAAGCATTCAGCCACCTTGAGCACATTCGATGTCCTTGGTGCATTTAGGAAGGGAAGAAAAGGGAGAGTCTCAGAAAGAAAGAAGTGCAATTTCTTTGCGAGCCTCCTTTTCCCACAGTTGATTTCTGGCACGCGCTGAGTTGTGTCAAACCGCCATGGGGACCTTTTTTTAATTGGCTGGGACTGTCTTCATTCGGTAGGCCGGTCCCATACCTTTCTCTGCCTTTTGGCGAAGATCAAGTGTAGTCTCTGGTCTGATCAGTTTTAATATCCAATCAGTGGTCTGTCGGAAAGGGAAGAAAAAAAGGTCACGGCGAATGTACTGCCACCTGGGAACAGTTTGCCTGTGAAATGTACATACATGAGGGAAGAATGAAAATGAAAGGTAACACTCACTCCTAATGGTTTTGCGTGGTCTGAGTGCAACTCTAAGCCCATCCTTTTGCCAACCCTGCCGTCTTCCTTTGAACACAGCGCACACTCATTTTGGCTAGATCGAACCCGAAAGGTTGTTCGTACACATTCATTACCAGTGTGCATTGTATTCGGGGGAAGACGGTAGGCCCAACCATAAACAACCACTACACCCGGGCCTGTAGGATCTCCACTGCGTGCCAAGCTTTTCCGAACCGACAGCTGCACACTTCTTTTCTTTTTTGCCTGGCGCCACCACCCATTGCGGTTTGATAGGCCCGAGCCCCGAAAATTTCGGGTGGGCAATGAGTTCATTTTCTGCAAGGCTGGGGCCGTGTACTAGCGGTTTAAAGTTTAAACCCAAGCATCCTGACCCTGAGCTATTAAACCCTAAACACTAAACCCAAACCCTGGAAAAAAAAAAAAAAACAGAAAATCGGGCTTTCAAGCCTAAGCCAAATCTTAAGCCCAACCCTAAACCTAACCAGCCCTGGTTCCCTGCGCCCTCTGGCCAGCACTCCACCTTAGACCCCAAACCAAAGCAACACCAACACTGAAAACTATCAAGCCGAAACCTAGCGTTCGACCCGATCCTCAAGTCAGCCCTGAGCCCAACCCTCAGCCGCAAAGCCCTGCACCATAATCCCTAGAGGCCAGAGGCTCAGAGCTTGTACGACAAAATATTGAAGGCCGTGAATTTACTTTACTTCCTGCCAGGTAGTTTTTTCGGACCAACTGATGGCAAGGATGGCAGTGGGCGGAAGTAAGAGCTATACAATGGGTGTAGAAAGGAAACACAGCACTGCTGCTGCTGCTGCTGATGGATGGATGGATGGATGGATGGATCGATACGTAGATAGATGGACAGATGGATCATTGATGAATTGATAGATAGGATAGATAGATAGGGGAGGGAGAGAGAGAGAGAGAGAGAGAGAGAGAGAGAGAGAGAGAGAGAGAGAGAGAGAGAGAGAGAGAGAGAGAGAGAGAGAGAGAGATGGATGGATAGATAAATAGATAGAACAGAAGATTGAGTGAGAAATGGATGCATAAATATCTTCAAACCCGAGAGAGAGAGAGAGAGAGAGAGAGAGAGAGATCAGGGAACACAAAGACAGAGGCAGAAAAACTGTCCACGCGATCGGAGAGCAAGAGAAAAGCACACCACACAGCACACGCATAGAAGCACACCACGCAGCATACTCATAACTCAAAACCAGACACCGATCTCAAAAATCTGTAC